ATTAATCCTATAAAATTAATTTGTAGGGTGAGAATTATCTTTTATTTATAAAGTTTTTGTTTGTCTTATTTTTAATTGATATGGAATTTAGATTTTTGATACATAAATAAATAATGAGTATTTTTTTTTAAATGTTTTAGAATAAGTGAGATTTGAATAATTTTTTCAATATATTCCTTCATATTTAACACTATCTAGTTTTGTATTTGTGCCAATGGTGGATTTTAGAATATGAATTTGGATACGATTCAATAATTTGTAAGTTTTAGATACCTTCTCTTTATTTGCATTGTGAAACTTTAATTTTTTTTCAATAATTAATACTCTTATTTGTCATTTGTTGATTTTCTTCTTTAATAATTCCAACTTTCCTTTAAATAAAAACACCATTTAACCTTTTATTGTAACTACTGCAGCACACATTAAATGAACTCATTCATTTTTTTTTTTTATATATTTTATTTTATTCAAATAAAATACAGAAAGTCACGAAATATCTAAATTTCACTAGTTGATATATACACAAGCGGAGTTCCTTAGTAGTTTTAAGACAAATTTATCATAATAGAAGAATATCATTAAGTTTATTGTTGTGTCGGCAATTGGCACCTAATTTTATTCAAGTTATTAAAATATTAAAAGAAATAAAAGGAGGAAATTAAAAAAAAATAGAAAAAAGTTAAAATATAAGGGCATGTTTTGGAAAGTTTTTTTCTTCTTCATGATTTCAACTATTTGTGAAAGAAAAAAGTTATTTGAAAAAAAAAATTTGATGGTTTAGAACAACAACTAAAATTTGTAAATTTTTTTAAAAAAAAGTAAGTCGTTTTTTTTTTTTTAATTTCAAAATTTGTAACTTTTATATTTTAACAAAAAAAATTTCTCTAACAATTGATTTACTATATAGAATTAGATTTTTTTTATTGTATCCAAAACAAAATTAAACGTCTCGAATCACTTTTAAATAAATTTGTCTAAATAAAAATTCATTTCAATTATAATAAATTATAACAATAATTGATTATTGAAACAATCTAATTTTCACAGTTTTATCAAACACATTCTAAATCAATAAAAAAAAACCCTTTCGCCATTCATTTAATTCAAAAATATAAATATATTTATTTTATTTTATTTTAAGAGTGACCTAATTTTAAAATTGCTAAATTAAAAATCATATGAAAGAATGACAAAAGTTCCATTCTTTCATCTCAGTACCTCTTCCACACACAAGACATATTCTCTTCTTTCCACTCACTCTCTCATCCTCAATTCTCATCCTATTTTAATAAATATTATATGAAAAATATTATTAACTTGAATTACACGTTATATTTATTAAATACAATTAATAAATAATGTTATTTAATTTTTTTATGAATCGTAAGTTAATGAAATATATGTTAGAAGGATAAAAATAATGTTTACAAAATTTTTAAAAAATAATAAATAATTTTTTTACGGGAATAAAAAAAATCACTCATTTATAAAAGTTAAAAATATTTTAAACATTTTTTATTTATAAATAAAAAAATTACAATAATAACATTGAAGATTAAACTTGAGTTCTCATAAAACTACCTAATCCCTTACTACCATACTTACCTCAATACTTAAAAGAAAAATGATTAATTTTGGACATTCACTTCATGATTTCTACATATAGGAATAAATATAAATTATTTCAAATTGTATTTTTCATATTTTTAAAGTTGTTCTTCAATAATTTTTAAAATCTTTAATTATTATTTAAAAAAATATAGAATGTTAACTGTGATGAACTTGTCTTCTCTAAAGATATTAATATTTAAAAATATTAATGACTAAAATAATTATAAATAAAATTTCACCCCATTTGAGTATAATATTTTCATTATATGTACTAATTATAATATTTTTTTAATCACATTTTGCAATTATAATTGTTTCAATAAAAATTGAATTAAACTAATTTGTTGGTTCTATAATTTTTAAAGTTTTAGTTAGGTTCATTGATGCCATTAAGAATTCATTAGTTTATATTGACTAAACGTTAAAATTTCTTTAATTTTTAAGAATTTAGGAATTCTTATGAGTTTGATTGTTTGAGTGTTGTTTTAAATCGATGTCAAAATTGACTAACTTTAGAGAATGTATATAAGGTTTTCTTAATACTTAAATTTCATAAGTTCATTTTTCTTAAGAATTATAGAGAGAAACTAGAGAGCTAAACTCGAGCCACAAGAGACCCTTTTTTCCCTTCTAACTTCATTAATGAGCTCTGATCCTTCCCTAGAGCACCTTTTGTAGGAGTTGAGTTGTGATTTGAAGCTTAAGGAGTTGAGAATCAAAAGTTCATGGTTGTCGTGTGGTGAGAACTTGGGAGTTTGTTTTTTGCTGTTCAACCTCCTTCTTCCTCTTTTCTTGGAGATTTGAGGTGAATGAAGTTTGTGGATTTGTTCTTATTATGTTGTATACTTGTATATGTTGATTGTTGCTTGAATTCATCCATATTGGTTATGATATTGATTTGAGAAGTGAAGGACCTTGTTCTTGGTTTTTGGTTGTTCTTGATACGATGAGAAGGAAATTAATGATTAAGAACTCTTATTTGTTGCATGTTGTAGATTTCTTGACATTTGAGTTGCTTATAATGTATATGTGTTTCTTTGTGAGTTGCATGTTGAATTGGAAGAGGATATCTAGTGATTTTAGCCAAATTGTGATCAAGGTAGAAACTCTCTGCCTAAACAATGTTGGATGCTAATGGATTGATGTTGGTATGAGTTAGATAGAGGTTCTCTGGCTGAAATGGGACTGGGCATGGGTTTAGCCACACTAGGCAGGATTGCCACAAAGACACTCTACCTCATTCATATCTGGTGTAGGTTGAGTGGCACTGAGTGTGGGAAAACCCAAAAGCTCTCTAACGCGGGGAGAATGACATCAAACATGGGTTACCTTATCAAATTATGTTGTTTGATTAATAAAATGGTGAACAAATAGTAGTAGTTGTATATCTCATATGTTGTATGTTGATATATGTTGTGAGTTTTTATACATTGATATGTGATAATGTATAGTGATGATTAAATTATTGATAGTTGAATGTTGATGAATGATTTTAGTTATATATACATTGATAGGAGATAATGTATGTAAGCGATAAAGTTGTTGAAATGTTGAGGCGTTGATGTTGAGAATGTTTAAAGTATTATGGTGTCTTATGTTAATTGACTTAAGACCGGAGAAAAAACTATTTAGAAAGTTGTATATCTCATTGTGAGAATATTGTTGTGATGTTTTATAAGTCTAATTGTTGAAAATCCTACCTGAGTAGTTGATTCTTGAAATGGATAATTGATGTGATATATATATATATATATATATATATAT